ACCTTCAAAACCAGCAAATTTACAAAGTATCCTCATTTCCACGCCATCAACGATCTCGAGTAACTCTAAATTTTCATTGTCTAAGGAGTCCACTGACATAGCTGCCTTAGCTATTATTGAAGGAGGCCAGGAAAAGAATAGCACTACCAGAAATAGATATGTTCGAGATGTCGGTCAACAGAGCCTGGCCTTACCTCTAGACGGAATGGCAGAAGAGCTATTCACTAACCGTCCATGCTCTCGTTTCGTCTGGATACCCTGCCTTGATTGCATCAACACGAAACTAGATGTCTGGCAGGTAATACAATTGGGATAAATGTATATTTTTTCAATTTTATTTAATTTTTAGACTGACTGAGTTGGTAGTATGCAAAACGAAGAATCGAAATACATATTACTACTGATACTTCATTCCGTCTTATACTCTCATGTATTGAATACGAGTAATTGGCTTTTGCTAAATCTCCCAATATTTAATATTTGCTCTCTTTCCAAGGTTCTCGATGAGGAGATTCTTAGGTCGATCTAACTAGAAAAAAACGGCTGATCCCATATTAACTACGGTATTCTTATTCTTTTACTAAGACGCTCAAATTCATGCAGTCCACGAGACATGTTCGTTCAGTCATAGTGAAGACGGTCTAAGCTTCAGTCCATCAAATCACAGACATCATCAGACGCTAACATTATTCTTTAATAAGCTTCAAGAAGATCAGTCGGCTCTACTTTAGGTTCCATTTATTCCCAATTAAATACCAAAATACAATGATATAAATATAGATAAAGTTTGATTTGGTTCTATATATTGTCTATTTCTCTAATTACTTATATGATTGATTTATGGGCCTGTCAGCCATAGTACAAAACACCAATCATATATCAGATTAATTATAATAGAGCCTTATGTTCATCGAGAGTTATAGATGCTAATAGTCAAGGGAAAAACATGACTGAGATTGCTTAATTCCGAAAGTACGTTTGATTGATACGATGAGTTGAAAGTATGTAGGTGCGTGTGTTAGATCACGAAACCATCTTTCCTAACTCATTAGTTCAGGATCATCAAGGCTTAATGGCTCAAGCAGAAAAATATGCCTGGAACAGCATAATGTTTGTACGCCTGGTTGAGTTTGCGAGCATAGCTGAAGTAGAAAATGAATGTGAATGTTGTTCGACACATAAAGAATAAAGGTGTCGACAATCTCCACTAAATCAGAGAACCTGCACGAACACATAATCCCGTAACAGCTGAATTTTGACAACTGATCATATTTCTTCCCAAAAGAGGGCATTGGCATAGAAAGTGTGAGGAATTATTTAATACCTTTTATAAAACCCTCTAATTCCCCACCAACTTGCATATCTTCAAAGGAATAAGGCATGACGGCAAGGTTAGGGCACGGGAACAAATTTTAGATTGCCTACCTCTGAAAAAGTATATTCAGTTTAAATATTTACTTATTATTATAATGCTATTACTTTTTCAATTAATCTACAGATAATTATTGCATAGAAATAATTGTTTCGGCCTTCTTCAGTCAAATAATTTCTATAAGCAAGCCTCATATTGCTTCCTCTTGAGGGTGTTGATGAGACCTGGGCGAGGCAGAAACTGCCATCTATCCTGAATGATAATACCTTGTGGGAGTCAAGGCTAAGTAAAGTTTAAATACATCTTCAGACCTATTTATCTCCTTGTGATAAAATGCAAAGCTCATTACTTATTACCTTATACAACCTAAGCTTAATACAGCACTTAATTAAGAGTTATTGATAAATGCCCAATCTATTCAGTGCGACTAGAAAGTGGGATTAAAATAATGCAAAATAAATAACTTATATACTATAATAGACTAGTATATTAGAAATGATGAATTCTAAAGTTGACCGGCAGTGTGAATGACAGGACTTTTGTCATTCTCATAAACAAGAAGAATCAATATATATTTTTTTCGCTTAATAACTATTTATGACTTGACTTACACAGGTACTATACCATGGATCGAGTCTCTTTCTTTCCCTTACCTTAATTATTATCTCCATAGAGAAGTCGATAAATAAATAAATCTTTCGTTTAGTAAGTAATATGGTACTAATAAAAGACATTCCATTAGGAGTTTACTTGTGTGAAGGAGGGCAAAGCTAATTAGACACAATGGCGTTGGGAAATCTACTCAAATTATCATGGACAAAACTCCAGCTGAGTGATTCATGGCGAATAAGACTATATTCAAGAATTATTGATACCTTCGAAGTATAATCATAAAATATAGAGTGAAGTCGTCTTGTAGGACAAAAATTACATTTTTACCTACTAAAAATCACACTATATATGTAAATTACGAAAGGCTTGACAATCTTGAACGTTAATTTTGCATTCTGAGCCATTAGAACCCATGGTTTTAGAGCCCAGATACAAAACCCACAAATCAGATTTGACTCCCGTTGTGGGTGTGGAAAAATCCTTGTAGTTCGAAGCTAAAGCATAGTTTGGATAACGAAAGAATTTATGAGGCAAGGCTTAGTGGAATTTACTTGTATCTTAAGGCCTTTTTCATTAATTATAATTTATAGCCCATAAATATACTTTTTTGGAATACAGTTAAATCTGTCCAATAAGATTATTTTTCATGATACTAACTCTCTTAGTTTTTTGCTATAAAAGAGAGCATTTGTATTTATGTTTCCATTCTTCTTATTCCTAAAATATTATAACGCTCATTTATTCTCGCAGGTTTATTAATAAAAGTGGACAAGTGTTATTCCTATCAGTATTATAGCTCTTGCATTTATTTTCTATGATAAATAAAATTAATATAAACTTACATGCCCTCTTCTATTATCGAACTCAACATTAAAATTGCATTCCAAAGATCTATGTTCAATTCTAGCGGTTCGCATATATTTGAAAAGCCTAGGAATTTTAGTAAAGTAATTTTAATAATTCATTGTCATATTACTTATTGATGACCCGAAATTTATTGTAATAATAATTACATTGATGTTAAGCTTTCAGAGAATTTATTATAAGCTAGGATTATCAGGTCAAATATCAGCCCTTCTCTGATTGCTCATTGGCATATTTTGCGCCAGATGGACCCTGTGGAGTGTACCTAGTCCTGTGTCTTCTGCCATAGCATTCGTGATTTTAAGCATCAGACCATTAACTTGGTATATTCCTAAACGTTTCGCCTGCATCGCAGTCAGCATCTTCAGTGGGCGGTGCCATCATCAGCACAGAGCTACAACTTAAAAAGTGACAAATAAAGGCAACCCCTTTGACCAATTTTCTGTTTAACAATTAGAATTGGATTAGAAATGGTCACCGGTGCAATACTGGAATTCATTAATATGATTGCAGAGAACACAGAAAGCCGGATTATCTTATTCATCATATCTACTATACAAATATTATTATTAATGTTATTTAAAATATTTTTATGTCTCATAAAAATCGTGCTTTTAGCCTTCAAATAGTTTGCCTGATATCAGCCACATAATTAAACATATTCGAATCATCTTTATTTACCTTATACACAATTTGTTGACCTTTTTCTCTTTTCCTCAACCTTAATCACTTAAATATGCATACATACATAAAA